TTTGAAAAACTAAGACTTGGTATCAATATTTTTGCATGGCCATTTCTTCCAAGATGTGGTCTCCCTGACACGTAGGAACAAATATGAGTTGATGCGCTCAGACCCGGCAGGCACACATGCCTCTTCCCATCTCTGAGGTCAGCGGGAGAATCTGGGAGCTGATGTTTTTAACAAAGTTTTCTACAGCAGACTCTTCTTCTGTGAGAGAAAAATATCCAGCAAGGTAAGGACTTCACAGTAGTTTCTATATTCTCAGTCCTTTTTATGCCACATGGGAAACCATTACAACTTAATTTTTGAAAATAAAAGTAACATTAGTATATTCAAAGCACTGGTTCTGAAGTGTGGCCCCCATACCAGCAGCATCAGTGTTACCTGGAAACTTGTTAGAAATGCAGATTCTTGGGCTCTACTCTATACTTACTGAATCAGAAACTCTGGAGGTGGGGATCAACAATGTGTGTTCTAATAAACCCTCCAGCTAATTCTGATGCAAGCTTAAGTTTGAGAACGACTGTCATAAAGAATTAAGATACATAATTAAAACATGCTTCTTAATATATGACCTCACCCAAGTAGATAGATGCAAAAGCTACATGATTTCAGTATCGTGTCCTCAAAGGATAGCTCAGCTGATATTGCCTTGTAATGGAGTTCTGTACCAGGCATGAAGATTCGTTAAATTGTAAGGAGCTAAACATAAACTGCTGAGAAATTGAAGCCATCCATTTACTACTGAACCTCAGAAAAATACCTCCCCAGTGTACAAACCATTATTTGCCCATTGATCAAGGCAGGTGGGATGTGGTGGAGGGCTGATGATTAATTCAGATGGTTCTTACTGGAAGAGCTCAGCTGTCTTCCTTGCTCACAGCTGCCTTATTGAAACTATGATATTAAACTGTGACAATTCTGAAAGCTAATTCAACCAACTGACTTTAATCACCCAGGGTGATAGGACGCGCTGAAAGACTATAAAGACTGGGGCTTCGGTCAAATTCAAATGTTATTGCTTTTGGCTGGGGCCATTGCAAGACTCACAGAGAAGTGGAACAGACATAGTGTGATCTTTAAAATTAGTTACAAAGATCAAAATATAAAAAAGCTGGAGTGACTTTGTGAGCATAAAAATTTATCCTTTTAGAAATAATTAATTTGATAAAATTACTCATTAGACCCATGCATTGTGGTGTCATTATAGCTTCAGTGTCTAAAATAACTTTAGCTCTTCTTTTTGAAGAAGCCAGTACAAATTCTAAAAGTCGTGCACCTAATTAGGTCAGACAATAACTAACTTGCTTTTCAAATACTATTCTATGGAGAATACTAGTGATAATTACCCTCTCAAAAAAAAAATCGGACATGGGTTCACATGCAAGATTAAAGATTAAATAGGAGGTCTTCAAACTCAAGAGCATCCATAGTTCCAAGTTAATGGAGCTATTGTTCAACATTGTCTTTTTTTAGTAACTGACAATGCCATGTGTCTGTTTGAGAAAGTAGGAGCTCTTAGGATATCATCCCAACCACGTATGGATAACATCATAAAGTATCAGAGTTCCAGGCCCCCCTTGGGGGACACCACCACAACTTACCTGGGTAGACCATTGGCATGCCCTAATGTGTTGCTTCTGATACACCTATCTTTGGTCGTTTTCCTTTCCCTGAGTCCGAAGGCACCAAGATGAAAGGTTTATATGGTACTGGAAGCAAAGTGGTAAGAGGTCATAAGGCTCACAGAATTCTTTGTGTTGGTGGAAGGGGTCAGCTCTCCTCATCCCCTTTCATTGGCAGTAGACACAAGCTGTGGCTTAAGATCCAGATGCCTTTCCTCCTCCCAGAAGTCTAAGAACTGTCCCTCATTCTTAGGCCCCTCATTAAACCAGCCTTGATTCCCTAAAGCTGCAGGCTATAGAGTCAGGCTCTAGCAAGGAGGAATAACTCAAGTTGCCTCTGACCTCACCTTTTCAGTTTTAATACCCCCATCCACAATGGTCAGAGGAAGTTAGATGAGTTTACCCAATTCCCTGAAGCAATATCAATTCTTGAACATCACTTTGTGTTAGCAGGTCCCTCACCTATATCTTCTTTCGTTCTCATAACAATTCTACAAGTTAGGTGTTATGATCTCTCTGGTGCAGGTGAGGAAAAGGAAGCTTAGAGAGATTAAGTGCCTTGTCCAATTTAGCACAGCCATTAAGTAGCAGAGCTAGGATTTGAGCTTGGGTCCAGTAACAGTTAAGGTTAGAGTAAGCTCTACCTCTGAAGTCCAGCTTCTGCCCTGGCCCTTGCTATGAAAGTGGCGACCCCAATAAACTGCCCTCCAATAACCTGGCTGACTGGTAATATGAAAGTTTTGCAGGTGGATGCTAACCAGTCTTCCTTGGTCCATCTCTTAGGTCTAGGACACCCTTGCATCCACTCTTCCAGTTTGGTTGGCTCCAGGAATAGTTTAGGAGGTAGTGGCTGTCAATTTGTGGCCCCTGGACCTGCATCAGTGTCACCTATGAACAAGTTAGAAATGCAGATTATCAGGCCCCACCCCAGAGCTACTTAATCAGAAACTCTGGGGGTGAGGCCCAGCAATCTGGCTTTTAACAAGTTCTCCAGGTGGTTCTCGTGCATGTGCAAGGTCTGAGAACCATCGGTCTATTGTATTTGGTGTAGACTGAAACAGGGAAACAGATTAAATTTGGTCTAGTTAATCTCTCCTATTCTCTCTCTCACTAATTTCCTGTCTTTCGTATATTTTAAAATTTCTTACATTGGCTTTGAAGCCCCTCATATTGGTTTTTGGTTTGGCAAAATCACTTCTAATTCACTGAGGTTATCATGGACCCCCCCCCCCCCCCCCAAACTCAACATGGAGAACCTCTCCATCTAGGGGGACAACACCTGTCTCCTCACCTTGCCAGGTGATTAGTATTTTCTTCTTGGTACCTGGAGTTTTACTCACCACAAACATGCACCCAGGATTCCAGTGGGTGTGTTCAAATGGTCTCCAGGCTCTCTGGGATGCAGTGACTTAAAAAAAATAAAAAGAACTCTGCCTCTCCCTTCCATTTTCTCTAATTACTGAATGCCTACCATTTTATGATTCTGTCTTGAAAATGGAATGTGATCTTCTTTTAGTTTTCTTTCCTTCCCAGGATATTTGGAGAAGATAAGAGAAAGGTTGTCTTTGAATATGTGAGGCTGTTGCTTATTAACAGCAAGTTGTGGTGGAAAAGATGAGCTTTGGGGATCTACGGAACTGGGTGTAAATATCTTTTCCACTTGACCAGCTTTGAGGCCTTGGAAAAAAAAATCACTTAAAATCTCTGAACTTTGATTTTTTCATCTTTAATATGGAGAAAATAATAGCGCAGAGGCCTGTCGTGAGAATGATGTGATGAATGAGAGTGAGGTGCCTAGCGCAGTGCTTGGCGTGTGTGAGAACTCAATAAATAACAGCCCTCTTGTTGTAGAGAATGAACTGGTCTCCTTCCTCAGGAGTAGAGGTGTGGAAGCCACCAGGTAAAGGTGGTATATGTTCCTCAAGGACCACATTTATTTCATAGGAAGAAATAGAAATATGATTTCTCTATTAAGACAAACCAAGATTCTGTTGAGTCTCCCCTACATGTTTTTGAATTTTTAAGATAAAGCGTGATTTTGAAGACAGTTTAGACTTCATAAACGTGCTTTGTTGCTTTGTATTCTGTCCGTACCACCAGCCCCACCCGCTGTGTATTGCATGCATTTCCTTTACTCCTAGGCAGACTTCACAGGAACAATCTGGAAAGTAGGACTGTGAGCAGTGGGTGAAAATAAGTAGACAGATAATGGTTTAACTGGAAGTAGTTACTTTCTGACAATTAGAGGGAGGCTGCATGGTAATGAGGAGCCTACCAGAGATGCCATAAAAGGTTTTGTTGGGGGAAGGCAGGGCTTGGTGACTCCTCACGTCCTTCCCAACCATGAGAGCTTGTGGGTCTGATTCCCATCCACTTGGCTCCCTCCACTCACAGGTCTGCAGATAGGCACTAGTGCATATATCAAGGACTGAGTAAATGAATGAATGAATGAACTTTGATCGTGTATCCCTCAGGCCACTATCTCCTTCCACTATGCATCCTATACCTGCCATCACTGATCACCCTAACTCCAGTCAGACTTTCAGTAACCTCCCCCTTTCAGTTGGGAGTGTGTTGAGCTGCAAGTTACAGAAAACCTCCCTTAAACCAAGAGGAATTTATTTACCTCACAAGGCGAGAAGGCTGTGCTCTCCCTCGTGGTTGCTTGATGGCTGGAAAATTCTAGCTGTCACATTGTCCAGGCATTCAAGGGCAGAAGAGTGAGGACAGAGGGAGAGTAATACCACCGGATGCCCCACCCAATCCTGTCTCTGTACCACTTCTCTACTGCTGCTTAACAGATGATCCTAAAACTAGGGCATTTATTTAACTAACAATTTATTTAACTACAATCCACGTGGGAGGCAGTTTGGGCTGGCTCAGCCAGGGAGTTCTTTTGTCTGTGGGGTTTTCTCATGTGTATGCATTGGGCTGAGGTCAGCAGGCGGATCAGCCTGTGTGGATGGGGCGCCTGGTCACGTGTCTGTCATCATCCTGGAGGCTCCCCGGGGCTTGTTCTGGCCAGCTGCCCAGCAGCGTTTCCAGGAGAGGGCAGGAGCATGCTAGGCCTCTTGAATCCTGACCTCAGAACTGGTCCAACATCACTTTGTCTCATTCTGTTGGCCAAAGCAAGGCCAGTTCAGCTTCAAGAGCTGAAAAAACAGACCCCCATCTCCTGATGGGAGTAGCTGCAAAGTCACAATGTGAAGAGATGTGCATACTGGGAGGGCCGGAGGATGGAGGCCATCCACCTACCACAGACTCGTTAGCCAAAACTGAAACTGGCAAAGTAAGGGCTTTTTCCTTTCTTTTTCTTCTTTCCTTCCTACCCCATCCTCCTCTACCTTCCCTTCCCCCCCCCCCCCCCACCCCGCTCCTCCTCTTCCTTCTCTTTCTTTTTTTGTAAGCTTTACCAGACCCTATAATAAAGACAGGTCAGGAAAAAGGGTGTTGGGATAAACCACTTTGTACTACTCACCATATCATTTAACCCTCATCCTTGACTTTGCTAAAAAAGTTCTTGGACCAGCATCCCTATTAGACTGTCAGAAACCTCAGTGCTGATGCAGCTCCTATTGGCATGTTCCTGGAAGCACTCATTTTGACCCACGCAGCCCTCAGAAGGGCACTGGGTTCCTGTGGACGTTGAAGGAGGGTGAGTGATACAGAAAATATGCCTCTTTTCTTTCCCCGCCACTCCCCACCATTGAAATGTCAGTCAGCGCAAACTCTTGCAAAGTCTCTCTCAGTACAGAAGGGCCACCCTGCTGCCCTGCCGTTCTCCCCGCTCTCCCCAGAAACGCCCTCTGTGAGGAGGTATGAAAGGAGAACTTCGGAAACCTGCATATAATAATAACTCTCCCTACGGATTTTTACTTGAAAGCCAAATGATTTGTAAATGGCATATAGGTAAATATCAGTCTGGATGCAGAAGCTTGCTGGCTACATTGGCGTGTCAGTGGCTATATATATACCTTGAGGATAAAGAAGGTTATTCTTCACAAAAGAGAAAAACAATGAATAAACTCATAATCTGAAGTTCACAGCGTAACAGTGAGCATTTATTGAACACTTATGTTCCTGGTAGCGTACTAAGCATTTTACATAATCTCCTTTAATCCTCAAAAAATCTAAAGGAGTAGGAAATATCCCCATTTTACATATGATGAAACTGAGGCACAGTTAGGTTAGGTAATTATGAGTAAGCCCAGAAAATAATTTATGCTTTATAAGTGTCAGCTGACAGTCTTGGCCAACTGAGCCCGTGCCCTATGTGAGAGCCGAAGCAACTAAAACTCAAATGAATGTGCAGTTACTTACGGGCGCTAATGACCATGGTGTCATTTAATGAAGAAGAAGATATTGCTTAAGCCCGACAATTATTGGTAGTTTTAAAGGCTGTAGACAAGATATTTATTAATGAAGTTATTCATTAGCTATGTCATTTATGTATATTAAACTACAGTTACAGGTCTGGAGTTTGTTGTGGGGTTTGCTATTTTTGTTTATTGTTGTTTGTTGTTTTTGTACTATAGGATTTTGGTATTAGCCAACAGATTAGTGTTTCCCAAACTGTGTTCCCCAGAGTACTAACAGCTAATTCTGTTTTGTGTTCATAGTTGTCCCATGAACAAAAAGGGTCCCAAATAAATTTGTAAAATGTAGGGTTCATTAACATTGAAGGTTCATTTGTCTACCGTAAAACTTATTGGAGCCTTTTATATATGGTAATCTTCATTGTGGATCTCCAAGAGATCAGTCTATTCTGCTTTGTTGGCCATACCTACGGGACAATGAGAAATACTGACTATTTGATTGCTGGTCAATCTGATCTCATTGTGATTGGCCAGAGTTCATAAATGTCAGCGGAACTGTATATATCTCCAGTTGCACTCATAAATATCAAAATGTTTCATTTTTGAAAATTATTTTCTTCCCATTCTTCTAAAAATTCTTTTCATTTTGAGTGAAAATTACTTTGCTTTTAAAGATTTAGGATTTCCCATGTTTGTTTATGTAAAGGCCAACAAAAAACATAATTTATGTTGGCTTTTAAATAGCAAACAGAAAGCATTCATTATGTTCTTGATGTATATTGACTATGTGCAAAAGTATGCTGCATCCCCACTTGGATATTTAGATTTCTGGTGCCAAATTCAAGAGAGACATAAGACTGAATGTGGGAGGAAACTAACATTTTTGGAGTGTTTGCTTTCTGTAGGTCATTTTCATGTCTCACTTAATCCTTTCTTAACCCTTTGAGATAGTTATTTGTGTCTTCACTTTACAAATACAAAACCTGCATTTCATATAAATCAAACTATTTAAGTTGACACAGATAATAAGCAAAAGAGTTAGGGTTTGAGCTCAAATCTGCCTGACTCTAAAACATATATTCTATTTATTATGAAAAAAAAGAATTAAATTAAAAAGCTACCGTTTGAAAACAGATTTGATTGGCAAACTCATAATAACAACAGTAACAACAATGGTCACATTACTCCGACGTGACAGAACAGGCTAAAAGAGGGCGTGATCAGTATCCATTAAACCACAAAGAGCGACTAAGAAACTAATCTAGTCTGTTCTCTAGATTCAAAAATTAGGGGCTGGTTTAAAGCTTGACTAGGGTTATTTTCAGAAAGATCAAACTATTAATTAACAAAATAGGTAATAAAGTTATTAACTATAGTACCACTACAAGAGGGTTTATTCTAAAAACATAAAGTAGGTTGAAGAATTAAGTGGATACATTATTGAATAGTTTGTGTTTAGAACTTTTGATTGCAAGATTATGTAAGACAACTATGCTCACTCACAACGTGCCCTTTGGTACAGCCTGATGACCAGCTAGACAGTCTGTTCAGGGAAATGGCATTGTAGATTCACCTTGGATGTTGATGATCACAGTTGAGACCCTATGGGATAGATCTGGCCCTTCACAGACTGGGGGCCAGTTGGAGACGTAACCTTCACTCAGGTTAGGGTTTAGCTAGATGCTTTGTATCCTCTTCTAAGCAAAGTCACTGCTGGCATTTTGGTCATGGCAGGAACAGAGCTTCTGGAATTTGAGCTACAGTTTGAGCATTTATGAAGCAAAGTGATGAAGAGGTCACAGGTCAGGATGGGTGTTTCCTTCTGAATAAATTCAGCCTCTGTTATTATCAGGGGAGAGATCTAAGAACTAGCTTGGTCAGTTTTAAGGGAAAGGCAACAAGGAGGAATCGTGAAGAAGCAGACATCAGCGTATCTTGTAAGCAGGGATACATGTGGAATGCAGGCCAATGCACCCCTCCTGAACCCTCAAACTTCAAAACAAACAAATGCCTTCCAAATGTTGGAAGTAGAACTGAATAAGTCCAAAGTATCACCAAAAAAATGTGAAATGTAAGCCATGGTTCTTTATACTCTGTGACAGTGTATTTTTTTTTCTTTTAAATCGTTATGATGTTTTTAAAAAAATCTGTGAATATCTTGGTGTCCAAGTAATGATGATAGATCATTTGTATGATCTATGCTTGGTTGGGATGTTCTCTCTCAGTTCCATATGGGGTAAGATCTTTTATCCTGATGGTTATTTTATTGGTATCGTTCTTCTTCGTTCCATCTTGTTGTATAAGAGACATCTCTATTCCACATTTTGTCTTGCCTCCCCTTCTCAACCATATCCCTCCCCTTATTTCTTTGTTCTTTTTTCTTCTCCCCCGCCCCCAACACTCACACACACACACACACACACACACACACACACGTTCTTTGGTTTGATCCGTGGCTCCACCACTTAATGGCTATGTGATACTCGACAAGTCTCCTAGCGTATCTTGGAGGCTATTTCCTCATATATAAAAGAGAAGTAATAACTGCGCTGCCCGCCTCACTTGGCAAACTGTAAAGTGCTATCCAAATATAAGTTTTTTGTTGTGATTATTATTGCCCTATGCCCACGTTTCCCACTATAGCATAAGCCTGGCCCTGGTTGAGGCTGTCAGTCATTTTGCTTGTTGAAAAGGCTGATGGGGAAGGAAGAGTGCCTCTTCCTCCACCCCCCAGCCTACTGTCACCATCACAGTCTTGGATTTATGATGGATTTGCTCTTTTCCCTTTCAGCTACTTGAGTCTTGTTTATCTGGTCAGTGAAGATCATTTCTTTTCTATTCCATTTTCATCTGCTCAGCAGTGACTACTAATTGGGGCACTGCCTGTCTTTCCATTCCTCTGTTCACCTGCCTTTCTCCCTCCCTACCAGAATAGGGGAGGCTTCCAGGAATGTCAAGGGATGCGATTAAGTCATGAGGTTTAACAAGAAGAGAGGGCAGGAGAGACAGGAACTAAGAAAGGAATCCTGTTAGGACAATTTGGAGGGTATTGGGTCATTCCAGAGCAGATTCTCCATTGTTATCATAAATTCACTCAAGAGTTATGATTAAATCACTGGTATAATTAGATGACCTTGAAAGAATCATTAGGGATTTGGGGTGAGGTAGAGACATTTTCATATGGCTCTTGAAAACACCATGCAAAGATTTCTTGAATTCTTTGAATATAGCCAAGAGATTTCTTATTTCTATGCCAAAACTACCTGTAAAAATAAGTAGCAAAAAATGTAACCTATAAATTTAATTAAAAAGCATTCCTTTGCAGGGAGGGGGCATGGTGTAATGGAAATGGCACTGAGCTAGAACTCAGATCTGTCTTTTCATTCCATGTCTGCTACCTTGTCCCTGGGTGACCTTAAACAGTAATAACGATTGTACAGTGTTCTTCAGGTTAGAATGCACTTTCATGCTCATCATCTCATTTGAACCTGGATATAGTTCCACTGGTGACATAAGAGAAGCACATGGACATTCAACTGGGCAAAAGTCCTGCCCTATCAGGACTGGTTATGTGTCATTGAGCAAGCCATTACCCTTGTCATCTTCATTTGTTTCCATCCATATAATATGGATGATAAAGCATTCCCATATGGCTATTTTGAGGATGATATAAGGCCATATGTATTTAAGTACTATGCAAGGTCCAAAGAATCACACAGCAGTTTGTGGGATATTAGGAGCAAGGTAAGAATTTTAGACCTTCTGCTTGTACAATTTTGGTTGAAAGCAACAGAAACTAACTCTGTATGTTAAGCAGAGAAGGAGTGTATTGGAATGATATCACATGGCTCACAGATTCAGTAGCAAAGCTGAAGATCCAGGCTCGGAAACTATCCAAGAATCAATGGAAAGTAGGGGCCAGAACTGTACTGCAAAATGCCACAGGAAGAGTGTCACTGGCACTGCTATTGCCACAATTGGCCCTATGGCTACTACCACTGGCCCCAGAAGGAGCTGACACTGCCACCACCCAAATGAATTCTAAATGGTCACTTGCCTTATAGCATCGTCTGCTCTAGATTCAAAGTCCTAGATGGAACCAGTTGATTGGCTAAGATTAGCTTGCACTCTGGTTCCCAGGATGCTGAGAGACAGCATACCTAACCTCCTCAACTTCCATAGTAGGAGGCAGGATTCTGTCTCTTATCTCTCCTGGGATTTCTTGCCATGTAGCAAGGGTGTTCAGAAGTCAGTTTCAGGCCCATTTGGGTTAAATGACCTACTCAAATTATTGCTGGCAGGTCTACATCCCATGTCTTCTTATTCCTGGTCTCCTAGACCTTTTCACCATTTTGTGTTTCCTCATATAAATGTGTTCAGTCTTTTAATGAATATTGGACCTTTCCCATATACTACGCCCTGTGATGGGATTCCTCTAGCTCTCCTATTTTGAGATCTTATGATTAAATGTTGCCATGTAGCATTTTCCTGGTGATAAAACACTGTGTTAAGAACATTGTTTTCATGATGAAATTTTAGAAAGCCTTATTTAAAATGAAGAGTACTATCAGAAGTATCTTGCAGATTCAGCAGAGAGGCATGGCTGGAAAAGATAATTTGCTCAACAAGAAAGAGGTAATAACAGCACCAGGGGGATTTCTCAGGCCCCATCAATGTCCACTGTTAAACTTCATTATATAAGCTGCAGACAGGGTTGTACAAGTAAAGGACTTATAGCCTATAACATGAATCTAGAAGTTGACTCACTTCAGCACTGCCTAGATCTTATACTGCCAGCTATCTCCACTTTGCCTGTATCCAGCACCAAGATGCAATAGGCCATGAGGTAGAAAGAATGGAAGCTTTGAGAGCCTGTTCAGGGTTGATAGCCATATAAAAAAAAAAAACAATGGAAGGAATGTACCTTTTACTTGCAAGGGCTTTTTGCCTTCCCTCCATTGTTGCCTGATTAGAAACAAACAGAAGGGTTACAGATTCAGTAAGATGGCAAATGAATATCTTATCCCGAGTTCCCTAGAAAATGGACTTGAGGCAAAGTCTTAGGTGTTAACAGTATATAAAGGAATACAATTCCAGGGGGAAAACTGGAGTGTGGAAAAAACAGGAGTGAGTCAGGAAAAGCAGGAGAGAAAATTTAAGGGATTATATCACAGCTTTTATAACAAGTACAGTTGATTGCTCAGTCTCTAAGGCCGTCTTCAGAAAGGCCACCTGAAAACACTGCATGTTTTAATAGTCCATCTCAGAGGAGGAAGGGAGAAGAATTTTTGTGCTAGCTCTTATCTCTCTTTGGTCAAACGTATCCCATGTGACATAACTCTCCTGTACTTCTGGGTTTATCTCCTAGGCCCTCCAGTAGCCACCTAGGAATCCAGACCCCTGGCACCTAGGAAGGTAGCATCCATGGCACAAGCTACCATACTCGGGCTGAGCCTGTGATAGAAGGGAGCCAGAAGCACTCTCCATCTTTCCACCTGCAGCCTTGCTGGGCCAGCTGGGCAAGTCATTGCATTCATCAAAGGGCCCCACAGTCTCATGCCTCAGTAGCAACAGGAAATCCCAAGAACGAGAGGCAAGAGTCATGCACAGCAAGGCACAAGACATGCCTGTGAGTGACATGAGGGACCTAGAGCAGTCACTGCAGAGAGAGACCCTAGTCAACGAAACAAGTGGAACACCATGAAGGAGGGCATAGAGATGAAAACATTCCTTTTGCACCTACAAGAAAGCATTTGGGCCAGGAGATCTTCATGGAGGCTCACCAGTATCATCAACAGAAAAACATGACCAAGGGTATGCAGAGGTAAATAAACTGGGTTAGGTACACTAAGATAACCTGAAAACTCTTTCACTATAGACATCAAAAATTGCTTGATAGAGTACAAATAAATTAAAATGCATGGCTGGACTCAAAAGGAAGAAGGGGAAATCACTGGTTCCAGAAAAAAAGAAGAAATTAAAACCAGATTGGTAAATGTATGGGCTGGTTTTGGAGCTATTCTTGGAGGATGGAAAGGAGTGTTTTTTTTCATGCCAATAACCTATGACATTGGATTTTTTTTCTCCCACATAGAAAAAGGACACCAACCTTAGGCCTGAGCAAAGTGAAAAGCATAGACTCAGGACCCTGAAAAAACTGCATCCTTAGTACAACTAGAAAAAAATACATACCCATCATTACAAGGCAGTGACAAGGAAGTATTTCTCTCACTGCTTGCATTTGGTCAGGTAAAAAAGTTTCTCCTGAAAAATAAAAACCAAGACTGCATTTATTAGAGGTCTGAGGTCTGATTTTATACTGCCAGAGGGTACAGGGAACCATCAACATAAAAATATATCATAAAACATGTGAACTCTGATGCTCCTAGGGACAGTGATACTCCTAGGGTGCTGAATAGAAGCAAAAACAGAAATACAGTGGAAAGGCAAACCACAGGATTTCTGAAGGAAAAAGGAATAGTCCTCAACAGATCAGCTCACCATACAGCCAGGCAAATTATCTGATAATTAGACTTCCGGAACTTGACAGAGCAATCTGAAAAAGAATATAAAAAGTGTACTTAAAATTATGGAAAATGTAAAGAAAAGAATTCATCCTACTAGTAAAAGATAAACTCTTATGAAAAAAGAACAGGAAACTTTGAAAAAGAACAAAATACAATTTCTAGACATGGAAAAAGTAGTAACTGAGATTAAAAAGAAAAATCCCGGTGGATAGGTTAAATAATGGATTAAACACCACCAAAGAGAGAATTAGTAGATTGGAAAATAATTTAGGGAAATTTACACAGAATAAAAAGCAGAGGGAAAGTATAAAAGGGAAGAATTAGGCTAACTAGTTTAAAATGTGTAGATCCCACATATAACTAAAATGTTATATGTTACAGAAAGAAAAAATATTCAGAGAATATGGGAGAAACCGTATTTGAATAGATAATGGTAAAAAGTTTTCCAACATTGATGAATGACCTGAATGCATGCATTCAAGAAACACGGTGACTTTTCAAGCAGGTTAAATAATCAAAATCCAAAATCACAGGTAACGTTTTACAGCAGATAGAAATTGATGACTGGTTCCTTACACAGGAACAAATTTGAACTGGCAGAAGACTGCACAACATACACAACTGTGCCAGGTGATGCTGTGATGAAACAGCGTCATCATCATCTTAGGAGTCTATAAGGAGCTAAACTATCATTCAGGAGTTAAGACAAAATAAATATATTTTTGCACAGATAAAGACTAAGAAATCTACCTCTATCAACATAAATAAACCTGAAAACACAGTACTGAGTGAGAAAAGCAAGCTCCAGCAGGATGTGTACAATATTATTGACATAAAATTTAAAGTTCAACGCTGAAGTATCTACTGTTCATGTACTTAAAGTACAAAGCAATATTGAGGAAAGTACAACCACATTTCAGATAGTAGTTACTGCTGGGTAGGTTGGATGGGATTGAGAGTCCATTCCAATCTAATTGGAAATAAGTGACAAAGAGAACTGGGTGTCAAATCTAGGACCTGCTCCCACTTCTATCACTAAGCAACTATGGGAACCCATGCACGGAATTCCCCTCCCTGACTCTCAGTTTCCTCATTTTTTAATTAATGGGATTGGAGCTAGTTAATTAACAAGATCCTTTCCATTTCCAGCATTCTTTTGTTCCACTTCCCTTGACTTTTCAGATGGCTACATTTTCAGGCATGAAAATGGCTTTCACTGATGCAGCTGTATTAGTAAAGACTCCTTTGGTTTCAAGTGATGTGGAATTCAGCCCAAACTGGCTTAAGGAAAGTGAAAAATTACTGTTTTATGTAAGATGAAAGACTAAAGTTGGGTCTAGCTTTAGGCACAGCTCTATTTAGGGCCTCAAAAATACTACCATGTGCCCGAGTTATTTTTTTAATCTTCTATAGTGTGTCTTTAGTTACACTGGTCTCCTTCTCGGCTATCATGTGATGAGCCAGATGGTGGTTGTAGCCAGATGGTGATGGTAGCTCAAGCCCTTCAATCCTCGCAGTTTTCTGTACTGCAAGAAAACCAAAATCTCTTTCCTTGAAGTCCCAGTAAAACACTCACTGTGTCTCATCAGCTTTGATAGAGCTCTAAGCCCAACACTGAGCCGCTCATTATAGGCAGGAGAGGGCTGTATGCTGATCAACTTGAGTTCTGAACATGCTCCCAATCTGGAGTGGGCACAGTTTCACCGCAGCCAGATAGACTAAGAGTAGGGGAAGACTGTCATTTCCTAGACAGAAACAAGGATGTGGTCACCAGAAAGAGGAAGAATAGATATTGGATGGCAAAAACAAATGTCCACTACATGTAAACCACAAAATTACAGGAGTGATTTCCCAATAAGGACCATCTAAGAATTTTAGTCTCTTTTTATATGGAATGACAAAAGGTGAGAGGGAAATCTTAAAAGTGAAGAGCATTCTAAGCATAAAAAGGGACCATGCAAAGACAAACCCATATTGGCCCCCAAATTATAGTGTTCATGAATGAGGCAGGGGCTTATTTACCTTGAAAGGTGTAGTTTTAGGATCAGTCAAATGAGTTCTAATTAGAATGACAGGAAAGTATGGGCCATGAGATGTGCACCAAAAATAAAAATGAAAACTAAGTGGTTTCAGAAGGCGTATGTCAGTTTGTGGAAGATAGAGCCTGACATCTTACCAAGAGATGACTGGGGCAGGGCACACACCTCTGGAGAATGGTACTATGTAAGGCAAGTGACAGCTTTGCCTGAAGTGCCTCTGTCACTAGAACATGAGTTTGCATATCATTTATCTTCACAGCACTGCAAGAAAAAAATTATATTTATTTTTGAACCATTCTCAAAACTTAATAAATGTAAATAGACAAAACAATAATTTAGAATAAAATAAGTATGTTTACACATAATAGGTGCATAGTAAATGTTTGTTGGATGCGAGTCCCATACAGTTAAATAATCCTGAAATGGGGGAGAGTAAAACATGGGGAAGCAGGGGAGGGTTGGAGAAGCTTTTCTCTATCCTCCCATCCTTATCTGTTGACCCAGATATTCTAGATCTTCCACCTTCATCTTACCTCCTCCATCTTCCTTTTCCACACAACCTCTGTCCAGAAGCCAACATCAAAACCATGTTGCAATCATGCATCGACTCCCTGCAACGGGTACAAAGATACTACCAGAAGCAACCTAGTGTTACGTGTCATAAACTAGGGATGTGCTCGAGAGCCCTGAGGATAGTGCAGAAGTTTTCTAAGACTCCTCTGGGTGCCTTTCAGTCAAAACAGCCAGAAGAACCCACCTCTCACTTCCTTTCCTCTTTGCTTTTCTACTCGTCCTGCCCTCCAGGCCCAGGCTTCATTCTGCCAGTTCCCATCAAACCCAGGCCAGTTCCCATGACACCCCTCAACACTGCATTGGCGAGTCCTGTTCCACTCTAGGCCCTCACTTTTCACAGGCAAATGTCTTCAAGTTAATTAACTAATTAGTTAACTAATCAATTAATTTTAAAGATATTTTCTGCACAACTTGCCTCTCATGGGTTGTGTTCATGACACAACTTACATGAATTATTATGCTGAAAGACTCACTTCCCATCAGAGGTAAGTCATATGAGGACCAATAGGAGGTGAAGAGAACAGAAAACTCCAGTCCACAATGTAAATGAAGCAAAGTAAAACCCCCGATATGAGGTATCCTAGCATGTATTCATGGCACCCTGTTCTTGGGTGGGGGAGATGGAGCAGGACATAAATATAGTTGAATTGAATTGAGTTGGATTGTAGCCATTCACGGCCTGGCTGTCCCTAGTTTACTGATATAGACTGAGTGTAATTGCTGAGACTGGAGTAGCGCTGAGAGCGTATGGATGTTCAGCAGGACAGACGCTCCACCTAGTCAGAGAGCCATGACGTCTGAGACTAAGGAGAGCTGACGTCTATTGAGTACCGACCCGTTGCCCAGCCACTAGGCTGTGCTCTTTATTTGTAATACTTCGTTTTACCCTCTGACAACCCAAGTACTATCTTATCCCTCATTTACGCCTAAGCAAACTAAAGCACAGAGAGGTGGAATAACGCTCCCACAGGCACACACTTATTACGTAGTGGGACAGAGCCTGACTCCCAGGTAATCTAGCTCCAGAATCTGATTTTGACCACCACACCAAACTGTCTCCTGATAAAAGAACTGGGATAGGGGTAGGAAACAGGCATGTACTCGGTCCTTTGAAACAGCTAAGGCAGGGTTCATCAAGCATGAGGAAGTTTGAGGTCAAGAAAGGCATGTGTGTTCTAGAACAGCCCACTCCAAGCATGGCTGGGCTGCACTTAATGTGAGTGCTGTCCCTGCTTGAAGGAGTGAGGCTAAGTGTGGGCACTGGGTGGTGGCAGCAAGATTGTCTCTTTAGGAAAGAGAAATGTTCTACCCTCTGTGGCTTCCACACCTCGCAGAATGCTTGGCATATAGCTAGTGTTTGTATTAGTTATCAATTGCTGGATAACAAATTACCCCAAAACTTAGAGGCTTAAAATAATGCATATTTATTATCTCACAGTTTCTGTGGGTCAGGTGTCCAGGCCTGGCTTACCCATGTGCCTCTGACCAATGGTTTCCCACAAGACTGACATCTCAGGGTTGGCCAAGGCTACAGTCATCTCCAGGCTCAGCTGGGGGAGACCCACTTCCAAGTTCACCCAGTGTTGGTTGGCAGGATTCACTTCCGTGTGGGCATTGTCCAGATGCTGCCCTTGGATGCTTGCCCCATGGGCCTCTCCCACAGGGCAACTTGCTTCATCAGAGGCGTCAAGAGACAGAGCCGGGAGAGAGAAAACCAGCAAAACAGAAGTCACAGTCCTTTGTAACCTAATCCCAGAAGTGACACCCATCATTTCTGTGAGTCGCTGGGTCCAGCCCACATTCAAGGGGAGGGGATTCCAGAAGAGTGTTAATATTGGGGGGTGAGAATCATGGGAGCCATTTCAGAGGGCTTCACCCCACGGTGTTCAAAGCCTGTCTGACCATTTGAACTTTGCCCCTCAAAATGCGAATACCACTCAGAACAGTTGCAAAAAAACCCAGTAAACTTATGTCATTATCTGCATTTACTCTTCAGGTCGAAAGTGATTATTAAATCGTGTCCATCAAGATAGTTACCCGTGATCAGGTATTTGAATAGGAAGAGGAAGGAAGGGAGCTAAGATTTGTCAGTGCCCTATTGTGTGTGCTAAACACTAGTGGATATCCCAAGGAAGGTGTTATTTCCTCACTTTCCAGTTGAGGAAACTGAGGCTCACAGACTTAAATAATTTGTTAGAGGTCACACAGCCAGCCCTGGTGGTCTAGTGGTTAAGATTCAGCGCTCTCACCACCACAGCCCAGGTTAGCTTCCTGGTGAGGGAACCACAGCACCCATCTGTCACTTGTCATACTGTGATGGCTGCGTGTTGCTGTGATGCTGAAAGCTATGCCACTGGGATTTCAAACACCAATAGGGTCCCCCATGGTGGACAGGTTTCAGCAGAGCTTCCAGACTAAGACAGACTAGGAAGAAGGACCTGGCTGCCCACTTCTGAAAAAGTTGGCCGTGAAAAGCCTGTGAATGGCAGCTGAGCATTGTCCGATGGAGTGCTGGAAGGTGAGAGGATGGTGCAGAAAGAATGGGCTCTGCTCTCCACAGGGTCGCTAGGAGTTGGAATTGACTTGACAGCACTAATAACAGAAACAAAAGGTCACTTGGCCAGAAAGGGTGGAGTTAAGAGTGCAACTCGAGTTTTCCTGATCCTAAAACCACATTGTCTCCAGTTATCTTAGTCATTAGTGCTGTTTGTCAAAGAGTTCCAGTTCTGCCCACTCAGGGCCAATAGGATGACTGTACTTTCTGGCTTCATGTGATTGCGTGGGGCCCGGAGACTAGTTCTGGCCCAGGTGTTGGCAGTAAAAGCGAAGAGTCTTGCTTCCAGGCCCAGCATGTAATAGCAAGACCCTTCCAGGGCCTCTTCTCCCTCTGCCATGGCACCAGCAAAGTTTGAATCCCTGAGTGACTGTGATGAGCAGACCCTCTCATCCCACCCCCGACCAACCCACAGTGGGCACAGAGCATGAACAGGAAATAAACTTTTGTCATTGGGAGTCACTGACGTTGTAGGGGGAGGGGATTCCAACTCTCCCGGCTGATGCACCACTGAAGAGAAGATGAAGGAGCAGAGAGGGAGGGGCGTGCAGAGGCTGCCCCACGAGTCGCTCTGGTTCTGTCCTACGGTGCCCTAAGGCCTGGCAGGCACTCGTCTTTGCCTCAGCAACCTGGGCTCCACAGGGTCTGCATCCTGACAGACTTCTGTTTCTGGACACAACTGGATAGAGTAAGGACTGAGGGACAGATGGCATTACTCGGAGGCAGGGTGTGAATCCCGCCGCCTCATCCAGTCTGAACACTCCTTGCTTTAGAACAGCAAAGAGCACAAACAGAGCAGGAGCAGTGTTATCCCTTCCCAGGCCTGTTCCAACACGCAGCACAGCAAGAGGCTTTGGTGGAGACGTAAAAGAGACGTAAGTGGAGCAGCATCCTCACGTCAGGGCAGCTTGTCACCAAGAAGCCTTGGTGGCCGGAATGGGCATTGGCTAAGCCAGTCTCCCTTTAGCTGGGCTAGGGACTGGTTCACACAGGGTTGGGGTGTCAAGACTTGGGATAATGTGGGGAGGGACTGAAGCATAGATTATCATGTATCCCAAGTATCGGCCTCCCACACGTCCTTCCATTGGGAAGGCAGAATTGTCTTCCGTGCTGCCCGAGTCGTCAGCCCTGCAGCTTGTTCCTCTGGCTGTCGGATCCTCTCTGCTGTCCTGCATAGCACTGAGCAGTAGCACCATCTCACAGCTGCTCACCACACAGAGCTCCCAGATGGACGTGATTCCCTTGGGAGGCAGTTGCATCCTCCCCACAGGCAGCAGCAGAGATGCAGCCCCCATTGATGGCTCTGTTTAGTCCACACCCTACCATCACACCGGGTCCCACGGCTGCATCACATTTTGCTCAAAGATCGGGTTATATCACTGAGTCAAAGAAGTAACATTTTCAACTACCTACTAAATCTACTTTTTCCCGTGGTGCAAGGAAAACCACCCTTTCTGAGGGAGTGACATGATGGACAGCCTCAGCTCCTAATTTTGCTTCTTTGTCCTCAAGTCCAGGATTTTTCCAGAGTGATTCCTTCTTCAGACTTCTCCTATGAATTTGTACCCACCCTTCAGAAAACCCCACTGCAAGGGCTGATCTCGCCCAAGAGCTCCGTTCCCTCTTCCTCCCCACCCAGCAGTGCATTTCCCTAAGCCTAAATTTCATTCAGTCTACAAACACACCCGGGGCATGGGGCAGGGGGGAACATTAGCACCACCTTCCAAGCTAGATTTAGGTACTTTAAGTAAAAAAAAAAAAAATACAGCAAAGCTCTTCCTCAGCCTCGCCTGTGTCTGCGGTTTTCACCCATGACAGCACTGGAAGAATTGTTTCTGTCACTAGATAAAGTGGAAACATCACTGACCTGTCCAACTGCCACTGCCCCTCATTTTACAGATGTAACAAACTGAGCTCAAGTGCTTTGCCACTGTTAGAGTGCCCTTGGGGTACTAAGAATCCTGAAAGCAAATTTCCTTGTAAGGAAGAATAAAAAGGGGCTGGCCCAGTGGCATAGTGGTTAAGTTCATATGCTCCACTTCGGCGGCCTGGTGTTCACAGGTTCGGATTCCAGGTGAGGACCTACACACTACTCCTCAAGCCATGCTGTGGAGGCATCCCACATACAAAACAG